ATCTCATTTTATAACATTTTCACTACTCTCAAAAGAAATCTTGTACTCATTAGCAAGTACTAGCCATTCTCCCCTCCTCTCGGCCTCTGGCCACCACTTATCTACTTTCTATCTCTTATTGCTTATTTTGGAAATTTCTAGTAAAGTGAACCGTACAATATATATTCTCTTTTGTCTAGCATTTTTTTTTTTTTTTTTACTTCACATAATGCTTTTGAGGTTCAGTCCTGAGGTAGGGGCATCTGTCAGCACGCCATAGTTTTTTATGGCTAAATAATATTCCACTCTATGGATATGTTACATTTTGTTTATCCACTCACCAGTTGATGAGCATTTGGGTTCTTTTCACTCTGTGCTATTATTAAACATGCTGTTTGTATATAAATCTTTGTACTGACATACATTTTTACTTCCTTTAGGTACATACCTAAGAGTGAAACCACTGGGTCATATGACCATATGATCAATATTTTACAGAAGCATACTCTGTGCTCAAGGTTTTGAGGAACTGCCTATTTTCAAAGAATGCCAGACATTCTTGAGGTATGAAAAATAAAATTTTAGTCCATACTCTGCTTTGTGAGGGACAGAAATAGTATAAAATAAATAAGTAAATAAATAGGCTAAGACCATAACCTCAAAATACTCAGTGTTGGTTTGAAACCAAACTATAGACCCAGCATATTTTGAAACACTTTGGAATTTAGTTATTTGAAGCCATGTTAGTGATACCAAGTGGATCCCAAGATAGATCTGCTGTTCCCTGGCCTAATGGTCAATATTCTGGCCCATATCTGATGACTTTAGCCTTTGCCTGGTGTGTGGACACTTGTACTGAAATTCATTCTTCTATGTTATTAAATGCTGTGACACTGAGGATAGTGGCTATGTGTATGTAAATAAATTTAAGCTTCACATTAGAAATTGTGCTAGACTTTACTCAACGGCAGATATTTATCTTGCTTGCTGCTGTAACCCTTGTGCTTAATCCTTACGATCAATCACAGGGGCTGGAGACACAACGACATAGGTTAAATTGAAACTAAATTGCATTTACCTAAAAATCTAAGAATTATATTTTAATTTGCTCTATAGAAACTAAAATTAACATTCTACACAAGCAAAATGCACCATATGAAACCATGTTTGGGTATGTATATGAACGTGGACCGAGCACACTTCTCAATATGCAGTTTAACTGCCTTTATGGAAGATCTACAAGCAATAGGCATTTTGGAAAATACATGGTGAATATTTCATGTTTCAGCAGGTCTCTTTCCCTGGAGGACAAACTTAAAGTACTCCTTTTATAACATTCTAACAGAAATCTACAAAGGAGAGTTGAAAGAGAACACACATTTTTGCAAACAGGTTTTATTCTTCCTGAAAAGATTTTAAAATCAGGTATTCCTGCCCTGGGATTTAGTGGTCCTACGCTAAACTCAGAAAGGAAAATACATTCAGTTTATCTGTCAGAACTACTTGGAAGAAAGGCAGTCTACCTTCTAAAAAGGCATATCTCATGTAGTGACAAATGTCAGGTACAGTTTATAAAAAATTCAATACTAGCAACATCTGATTGCTACTTTTTCATCAATTCCTCAAAGCATACAGTTTAATTTTTTAAATGTGAAATATAGATACATTTTTCCCCCTAAATACTAATAATGTGACAATTTCATACCCTGGCTGTGAAAAGAAGCTAAATAAGTTAACAAGTTCCTTGAAACACATATACAGTTTTTTCCTACTTGGTGAAGAACATGCTGCCCTGTAGATTTCCTTTGTCAATATAAAGCAAAATATATTTTAAAGATTGTACTGATATGCTAGAAAAGCAATCGTAAAATTTAAGTCAACATGAATGGATACAATTTGTGAAAATTTATATACATTGAAAAATATTAAGGAGGAAGTATCTAGACTTTTTGTTCATATTTCAAAGCAATGTAGCAATCTATGTTTTATATTAAGAAAAACCAGAGACAGTGCTTGGTGTAAAATGTTCTGTAATCCTGGTTGAAATTAGCAATTTAAATTTGTTGAATGAGGTTACAGTGCAATATCTAATGCACAAATCACAGAGATTTGAGTACTTGCATAGTTGTTAAAAAATGTATCAAAAGGCCATGGGTTAACAATAATGAAGGTATGTTACATTATTATTATTAAAATATGCAATCTTTGATAATAATTTATTTGTTTTACAAATGCATTGGGGGGTTAAAATTTTTCTATTCATCTGTGACAAACCATGAAATTCAATATTGCTCACCATGACCAATCCATGAAATTTGTCAACTTTGTTCCTGATTTTCACAGGGCCTTCCTCTCAGATGAAATGACCCGTTGAACTAAGAGCATAGCAATTTTTTTCATCTATGGTAAATCAGTTGAGTTTACTAGGATTTATTATGTGCTTCAGACCTTGAGCTTTTTATGATTATGAGCTATTATGCATATAATCCCAAACTTATGGCAGTTTATCTCACTATTTCTTCCCCTTCCTGAAAGAATTCTCCATTTCTAAAATTAGTTCTAAACGGTAGGGTTGCCAGAAAAAACAATCTATAAACAATGGGTTTGTTGAAAGTCAAAGAGTGGGTGAAAATTATAGGGAAATTGAAATCAAACTTGTTAATTACTTGTAGAATTTCTAACACAAAAGTCTCAAAATTTACTGAAAATCAAGATTTTTCTCTTACCAGATTCTTCCAGAAAGGAATACTTTCCTAATTTATCCTAAGAAATAGAAATACGCATAATTTTTCCTATCCAAGAAACTAAGAATATGTAATTATCTAGTCTTTCAAGATAAAGTCACTATTTTGGAGGAGACCTTAAACAAAATTGTATTATTGTTTTATGATAAGATCTACTTTAACCTCTTCTATAAGATTACGATTCAAATGAAATAAACCAGAAAAGTAGTTTAAAAATTTTAATCTCCCTAAATCTTATTTAGTGTGTATAATCTTCCAACATTTTAAAAATGTAGTTGCTGAGTCTTCTCTTTTTGCTGTCCCACCCGCTGCTCCCTTGCAGTGTTTTAATAAACTTCTATCGTTTTGTTCTACGTTGGGGTGAATTCCTTCACCCCCTCCCCCAACACTCCACCCTCCCATATCACCAGCCTTCACCTGATAGGGTCACCATGTTTGGTAGCTCTCATCCAGAACCTCTGCTGGCCTGGGACTTTCCCTGGATTCTCTGGGAATTTCTCAGGACTCTTCCCTCTGTGGACCAACTGCAGTGCTCCTTGAGGAACTGAGGACCTCCAGCAGAGGATATTCGTCTGTGAGGATCTGAAGCTCCAGGAGGAACTAGTTCTTCTTGCCCTTTGAGAGGACTCTTTCATCCCTTTCCTTTCTATTTTGGCCCTTCTGCTGTGTAACCCTTGTAGTCCTCACACCACAGATCTCTGGCCAGGGTGGCTCCTTAGTGTGGTCTAAAAGTCCATGGTGTACAGGTTGGGTTTCCATGCCTATGACTGTACCCACCCCCGCCCCCCCCAATTCCTCTCCTACTTCCTCCCCAACCTGTAGCACAATTGGCAGGGGCAGCTCAAGCAGGGAAGATCCACACATGTTATAACTCAGTTGGGACCCTCTCCTGACACTGGCTGACTCTCAGCCACCTTGTTTGTTTTGGGCTCCCCTTTTTCCCTTTGTTTCTCTGGATCAAGATGCCATCTTGATCTACAGGCAAAAAATGTCCCCATGTGTTGGAGTGAGTCCAACCATTCTGTACAGATGATGGTTTGACAGGATCCCCTCCCCCTAAATCCCATGGACCTAGCTACCAGGGATTTTCACTCAAATCACCTGTTGCCAAGTGAATATAATACCATGCTGTGGTCTATACCTACAAAGAACCTTTGACAGACCAACAACTTTAGGTAGGAACAGTGTGCCCTCATCCAGCACGAAGCAGCTACTCAGGATGAGACTTCCACCCCAATACCAAAGATCTGTCATTGGGGAATGTGGAGGACAATGTTAGGCAACAGGCTTGAGTGAAGGAAACTGTGGTAAGGTAAAAGAGCCCACAGTGACCCTGGGCTGAATGCAAACACACTCAATAAATGACACCCCCCACCAAAAAAAAAAAAAGTCTATAGGCCCTAGCTGACCAATGGGCTACTTACAATCCAGCACAGGTGCTAAAAAAGGAAAATTTCATATATTCCATTATCTCCTCACTCCTCTTCATAACTATAGCCCCCATCTTCCCCCCACTGCCTCCTGGCAGACAGTCTGTCCTTTCCTCTTATGCCTGCTGCTCTCTTACATTGTAGTCAATAAAATTCAATCTCCTTTTTACAAAAAATGCAATTACTGGGGCACTGGGCTGACTCAGTCAGTAGAGCACATGACTCTTGTTCATGAGGTCATGAGTTCAAACCTCATGTTGGGCATAGAGTTTCCTTAAAAAAGAAATAAGTAAATAGAAAACAAAAGTGCAATTACTTATTCCTCCTGCCAGTTGTCCTTACTAGCTCGGCCTAATACTAAAAATGGAAATGCATGGCAGATTAACTGACGGTGTGGAAACATTAGGTTTCTTCTAGATTTGGGGATATTTTAGTATCAACTTTTAATTTTTTTTCTATTACAACAAATTACTTCATATAACTTTAAAACTAAAGAAATATTTTTAAAAGAGCAAAAAGCCATTAGATATGATTTTCTTCTTCATGAAGTATCAAACTATGATTAAAATAACCAATCCATTAATAAAACATTTAAACAACTCAAATAGTGAAGTTCAAGATAATCCTGATCCTTCTGGGGTCTTAGCATCTGAATAAGATTGACCAATAGAGATTTAACACAATATTAGTTCATTTTGTAAAACGGCCCAATTCACAATATAAAAAATGCACTTCAAAATATTTCTACTTGCTACTTCACACAATTCATTAAGTAGTATGAAAATAACTTTAAGTCACATTATTTACATATCATAATAGCTAAAAAGAAAATATGTTTGATACTTACTGATATAATTCAGTTAAAGGTGAAGTCAAAATGACTAATGTTGTGAACAGATTATTACAATGGGTATGAATTTTAAAAATTTTATCATCTATATACTCATGAGGATTCAAAAGCTTCTGTACAGATGTGCAAACTGACCATAACATAGTCTCAGTGCATATTAAAATTGTCGTGACATCAAGTCTATTGGAAAGAAAAAGAAAATTATGTTAAGCAAAACTGTTTTTCTGCTTGGTATATATACTATCATTCATATCTCTTATATTAAACATATGTAAGAATAGAAAAGTATTTGGTTAGATACCAGAGCTTTAGAAAGGCAGATAGAAAGCATCAAAGCTTAGTGTTTGAGTTTCCAGGTGATAGGTGGCTCATATACCATTATCTTTAGGAATAATGAGGTCTCTCTATAATACTAAAGTATTTTAGGAGTGCTTTTCTTACTTACTTTTTTTTTAAATATTTATATCACATCATCAGGATACTGTTCAAGAAGCTCAAGAGAATTTCCTTGATATTATGTCCAGCAAAAGAGGAGCCAGATTAAAAGAAAATTTGCCATTACCCACATGTATATGATAGGTAAAATTTTGATAGGAGAACAATTCTCCTTATCCAAGCACAGGCTGTCAAAAGAAAGTTACAAGTTTGGATAACATGTTTCCCCAGCAAATGGGAGAGGAAGAAAAAAAATGAGACCAAAAGCACAAATGGAGAAGCTTATAGTTTCCAAAATTTTCAGCATTGAATAAATTTGTGGAAACTTTGTTGTATTTTGTGATCTTCTTATTAATACACTCATTTAATTTCTCTCTCTCCTGTGTTTTATCAGAGACCCAAAGATCTGTTTAAAGATTATTTTGGTATATGACTGAATTGTAAAAACCTCAGTAAATTTCCTCTTTTTTTTTTCTTTTAAATTCAGTGTTGAAGAGATAGATGATGGAAATCATGAAGTGATAAGAAAACAAAGTTTGAAGATCTTTTAAAATGACACTTTGGCTTCAAATTTATTATATCTATATAAAATAAGTTTAGACATATACTAGTGACATGTAACACATATTACATATATTGCATAATATATATGGTTTTGGTCATCGGGCAGTTGGAGGCCACTAGAATACCAAAAACATCAATAATCACCTTTAAGAACTTTTAACTGCAGTATTTGCATCCATTTGCTCTAATAGTTCAACAATTACAAATCCAAGATATATGTACACACACACACATACATACATAGTCTGACTTTCACAGTAACAGTGGTTTAGTATTAACCATTCAAATAAAATTATTTATTTTACTTTTTATTTTTAAATTTTATTTATTTTATTTTTATTTTACTTTTTAAAAAGCTAGAATAACTCTAGCTTTTCTTTCTTTTTTTTTTTTTTTAAAGATTTTATTTATTTATTCATGATAGTCACACAGAGAGAGAGACAGAGAGGCAGAGGCACAGGCAGAGGGAGAAGCAGGCTCCATGCAGGGAGCCTGACGTGGGACTCGACCCCGGGTCTCCAGGATCGCGCCCCGGGCCAAAGGCAGGCGCCAAACCACTGCGCCACCCAGGGATCCCAACTCTAGCTTTTCATGGCATTTTTATGTAACCACCCAGAAAACAAAACCAAAAGTCTCCATAGTACAGTTAATTAAATATACTACCCAGCAAATCTGATTTCACAAACATCTCATAATGACTTGCCACCTCATAGTCAAAAATGATTTAAGCTACATAGGAAAAGAATGAAGGTACCCTTTGCTCTCAGAAAAAAAACTTTCCATCTATTCTTCTGAGTTCAATGATTGAAAAAAAATGCTTGGTCAGTAATTCAAAACAGTCTTTGCAAAAGACCATATTTATGAAACACTGTAGCAGGACCTAAATACCCTTCAAATGCAGCATGCTTTATAAGAACATGATCAGGAAATGATTCCTACTGCCAGAAAAAAAAGAAAAAAGGCTCTGGTGTCTTTAGGTTCCTCCTATTACATATCTGAAAAAAACTTTTCATACCTAAAAGACAGATCTTAATCACATCAGTGAGAATATTTTTAAAACAAAAAACCTTTCTTTGTATGGACCGTCATTGTCTCATAAGCACATTTTTGTAACGGTCATCGCCTACATGCCTCATAGACCTGGGCTATAGTTTAGTCCTTAATACCCAGCTCCTAATTTTCTGTGATTTCATATATATATTTTTTAGTGTGATTTCATATTTTATTGAACTGATTTTTAGTAATATATAATGGAAAGAAAAGAAAAAATAAAGGAGAAAAAGAATTAGAATATATCAAGGAGAAAAATTATTAGACAAAGGAGTTTTCTTATGAAGATTAACTACACTGTTTAAAGGCTTAATAATAAAAAGAAAAACTAAAATCCCCTGGTTGCCTAGAATTTCAAAGTCAGATTAACTGCCCCATCACAGCACTGCTGCTTTTTTCTCCATTTCATCCAATTCATTCTCAATCTCCCTCTTTTATCTTATTTAATAACCTTTGTATATAAATGACTTAGATTGTGATACATCTTGAATCATTTTTTGAGAAACAAGTGGGTTCTATATACAATTTTAAGAAGAAAAAAGAGCAAAGTTATCTTGATTCAAGTTCCACATTGCCACTTAAGTATCTCAGGAGAGTTGAATACGATTTCCTTTCAGATGTTAGAAACATGTTAAATACACAGAGTTATGTTATGTCTTGAGATTCAGAATTACATTCTGCTTTATACCAGTTGATGAAAAAGTTTTCTTGAAAAGCAATGGGTTTCACAACTTCAATTACCTGATCTGTGGAGTTCTCTTATAACTGGGATGGGCTCGAGCATATCTGGAGGCCAGCAGACCCAAAGATTTCTCCAGCACTTCTGTGAAAATCTCCTGGGCTAAGTTAGGGGGCAGAATGGTCCAGAGATCGTGATGAAGAGCACAGAAGAAATAATGCCACATCTGGAGGGAGAAGGAGCATCTTTCCCCCTGGCAAAACCACCACACATTAAACAATAGAATCACATCTTCCAAAATGTCAGTTTGCTTCCTATGAACATAATTAGTTCAGGCTGAAAGGAAATAGCTGGAAAGTCTGACACACAAGATGACCAAGAAAGATTTTTGACAAGATGTAAAACATCCTTATTGACAAAGGAACAGATGTTTTATTTCAATTACTAGACCAGATATTCTAGTGCAAACCCAGACCACAAGCTTTTAACCTAGCATATCTTGATTTACCTACTCCTAGCCTGGAGTTTAAAATTTATTTTATGCAATCAGCTTTACAGTTGCCAAACGAGTCATGCTAGTTTAAGATAGTTGGCTGGTTCCTCTAAAATTAAATTTTAATAATGTAAATTATTTAAGTATGTATATTTTTCTGAGACTGTGACCATCCTTGAGGTCATTCTTATAAATGTCTGAGATTTCACATTATAATGAAATGACAGGAGTAAACATTAATTTACATACCACATACTTATCAACGTGCATGAAACCAAGGGGATGGGGAACTATTAAAGACTATTACATTAGGCTATTTCATTCACGGAGTTTTAATAACCATGCTAGAAACAGATACTACAGTGGTCAGATTTTACAAGAGTCTGTAAAGCTTAGGCAGATGTTATCATTTCTTAGCATTTGTATGGTACTTCATACTTCCAAGGAGTCAGATCCTCCTTCCTTTCCACCCCTTATAGACCTCTACTGTGGGTACCAAATTTTCCCTGACCAGAGAGGAAGACCCAGCATTGGCCTAGGCCAGTGGGACAGGCAGAAATGAGAAGGTAGCCTCAAGTGATTTACAAGCATTCATGAGTTACAGGCTCTCAGGGAGGTATGCTAGTAGCTTGACCTCATTTTCCTCTAACCAGATTAAAAAAAAAAAAAAAAAACCTACTTTAAATAGGAAGAGTAGAATGTGTTTTTCAAACACTACCCTGATTGTTACTATATCAAAAATTAAATGAGTAAAACTTCACATTTTATCTCTAAGCAAGCCTCCTAGACTTAAAATTCCTGCTTTGCCTGCCACTTATATTTCTCAAATATCACCCCCCCAAAAAAATCTGCTGTTCCTTTATACCAAAGGTTGATAGTTTCTCATGCAGATATGCCTATCAGTATTTTCCTTACATTCTATTCTTCTGATAATGTCTCTGATTATCTAAATTATTTGCAGTAATCGTGAGAATATGTTTATTTGTAGCAATATATGTAGAAGTAGCAAAATTAGAGTTTCTTATACTTTCTTTGTTGTTGTTGTATGATAAAGAATGCTTTTTAAAATTTCCTAAAGTAAGAAAGGAGTTTGAAAGCTTGATTTTGTCATACTTGTTGTGTTGTATGTTAATATTTATTTATTTATTTATTTATTTATTTATTTATTTATTTATTTATTATTTTTGTGTTGTATGTTAATTAAAGCAAAATTGCCCCAGCTGTTGTAATGATGAGTACAAATGATTTACACTAACTCTCTCCATGGCAATGGATGGGCGCTTTTAATGACACAGCCAACATTATTTCTCATTTTTCAAAATGAAAACCAATTTCCTTAATAGTTACCAATAAATGAGAAAATAAAAGTAACTTGGCATGAAGATTTCTTTCCCTGGAAGTGAAAAATAGTTATTTCGAGACTTTTTAAAATATAAACTTTGTGTTTACTTAGAAACACTCCAAATTGGTCATCGTTCTCACAATTCTCTTCAAAGTGTGTAGAACTGTAATGTATGTGAGGGTTTTCATTAAACTAAATGTGATTCATTTATTTTTCTGACCTGTTTCCCTATTTGTTGTCATTTCAAAAGTATTCTGCTAGTAAACATCTGTTATTTTTGTAGACCCACTATAATGTAAACAGATGTGAGCTTTTATTTAGATTATGTATCAGGAAACAAGCAGCTGGGCTTTATTATATAAGCCATTCAATATTATCTTTGAACAGACAATTCTTTATTCTTTGACTATTGGAAAACACAAGTTGCTAAAATTGAGCAGATGTCAACTATACTAAAAGCTTAATTTTAAACATGTAATCTGAACACCCACTGTGCCATCTGACCAGCACCTCATCAGAGAGATACTGAACTCTTTGACTCTCTCAAACTGACAGCTTAGAAAATGGAAATAATGTATCTAGGGCTCAAATGATATCACAAAACACGGGCAAATATTCCTTCCTATCTTGTAAATTCTTTCACTATTTCCTTACTACACTCTGCACATGGTGATAGGCTCCCCTGAGATCTCTATCCCACCCTTCGCCTCTGGGCAGGCAGATTTCATCTCCTTTCCACTCAAAACGGCCCTGCCAAAAACATACTAGTCCTGTCTCACAAATCAGTTGAAATAAATGGAGAGAGGAGAAGAAAAGGGTGCAGTAAACGGGATAAAACCATTGTCAAGCACTCCAGTTGTCAAAACAGTTTCAAATCTGTGCTATTTTTAGAAGTTTCTTATTTTTGGTAAATAGAATAGCAGTATCACTTTATTTTTCTGAGCATAAATAACAACCACTCACTCTGCAATTAAATTGTAACTACTGACCATGTAAGTATATGGAAGCTACAGTACCATGTAATCATAGGGTAACTATCTCGTTATTTCTGTCTTTGAAGCTAAAGCCTTGTCATAAGATCTAAGAGCTGCATGTTACATGGTAATTTGTTGTTGTGTTTTTTTTTAATACTTGGAAACTTCAATAACAGATTCTCAATGCATCTACTTATTTATACTGTACAACTCTTCTGGCTCCCAATTTGCATAAGAGAAAATATAATACCCCTATGTTGGACATAGAGTGAAATGATACCTGTTCCTCAATGAAAACATCCTATAAAATTGCTCATTAGTACACTGACATATTGAAATAGTTTGAAACAGGAGATGGATTCATTTTCAATCTCTCTGTTTACCTCAAGGCAAATAAGGAAGCTGTGATGCTGCCAAGAGAGGGGAAGACCAATACTTGCATTCTTATCTCAGACTACCAGCTGCACCATACCACTTTCTCGTTCTCATTCTGCTCACTGCTGTTTGAAGTATGTCAGGTTTGGAAAACCCTATATGAATGCTCTTGCAGAAAGAAAAACTATCTGGGAAGGGCCTCTAAAGGAGAGATGAAATGGCCTTAGAGAAAGTGAAAAGTCCTTTAAAAGAGCTTCTTAGCTACTTCTCTCTGTTATGGCAACATTTATTATGATAATAACTCAGGCATAAATAGAGCCACAGGAACCTTCGGTGTCAGGGAGTTGACAAGAGTGACTCCACTGAATAAACACTCCACTCTGTTTTTCCTAGTACTCTATAGCAATTCAGACAGTAAGGAAAAATAAAAATCATAAGCTTCCATCCAGAGGAAAGGATAAATTGGGAGAGCTAATGAAGTCAGGCTTGACTGATGAATTTTTTAAAAACTCTGATTATATTTTATTAAGATATTATAAATGTTTCACCCTGCCCTGAAATCAACTTCAAGGAATTTCAAATATTGTGGCTTATGTACAATCAATGGGATTTAGGGGAAGGGAAACTAATGAAGCCTGATGATGAATAATTTTAATTGATCCTGGATTTGGTTGCATTGGGAATCATCAGGCTTTAATTCAGTAGAAATCTAGAATTTCAAAACATGGGCTAAATGAAAATAGGTAAGCTATAAATGATCAGATGGGTCTTAAAACACCCTCAGAAGAACATACAACGAGAAGAGAGAAAAATACATACAAAGAATAAAGTGGCTTAATAAAAGGCATTTATCAAAAACAGAAATATATAAGAAAAAAGTGCAGGACTACCTATAACTGGTCCTTTTAGAAAAAAATATAAAGTTGTAATATTTTGGCATTATCTCTTTGACTTTTCATTGTATCCTGTTATATTCCAACTTATATAGCACATGCTGCAGCTCAAATTAAGTTATTTTTACTTGTAAGCAGAAGGAGAGTTCTGACGTGTAGTTATTTCAGGTTTTTAAAAAGTGTTTTCCCTGAGTACAAATTCAATATTTAAAAAATATTATCCTAACAGCCTTCGCGTGTTAGTAATGCCAAGCTCATGTTTCTAATTAGCCAGAAAGCAGGTAGGCAGTAAAACATATTTGTGTAAAAAGGAGGGATAGTAAACTTAACTTCACACCTCATAAAAAGCTTTGTAGCCATCCCAGTGGTGGCTCTCAGCATCCTGTAAAATGCTTGTAGCACAAACTCTGACGCAGTAGTCCGTAACCTGAAACTGTAGAGTGTTGATGAATTCCTGATATCGTTGGACAGGCACCAGGAATACGGGTCTGTTTAGAGGGAATGATCAAAGAGACAGAGATTTAAGGCCTGTGCAGTAGGCGGTAACAATCTCCAGTACTACAAATGGTTTTGATTATTAGATATCAATCATTCATTTCCTCCTAATGCTAAAGTCTGCATCCACATTCACTTTCCGAAAAGAAAAAAAAAAAAAAAAAGCCGGTCTTTGTTTTGCAAGTCCTTTGAAAACGTACATCTGCTGTTCCACAAATATGCACTTCAACTTGAGACAAACTGCATTGTCAATACATCATTCAAAAATAAAAGTATTCTTTGTAAGCCTATTATTAGAGATCAGTGCATTATTTAGGCATTAGGGTATCGTTATTATAGAGAACAACATGCATTTGTCAGAACCAACTTTTATAAAGCTATCACACGTCCCATAAACACACTCCTTTTGTTTTAAAAATTGTAATTTTGTAGATGTCAATTATCTCATAAACTGTTTTAAAATATTCTACAGAAATAAAGTGATTTCTGGCACATCTCGTTTATAAATTCAAGTATGATTCACCCTATCTGACTACTTACGGGAATTAAAGAAATATCATAGCTATAGTTTGCATCAAGCCAAATTTATTTTACTTTTATCTTTAGTTATTTACATTACACTTTCTTATGCTTTCTCTCATAACTGAAGGACTACAAATACTGAGTCCAAAGGAATACCAAAGAGGTTGTTGGACTCTTGCTGGACAGCCAACTCCATGTGTTCCTTTTGCAAGGGGCTGTGCTATCTCCTAGGGCATGAGGGAAGCCAGAAAGACCATGTGGTCATTTTTATTCTGTTTCTAGAAAATATACAGTCTTTTTAGACTACTAATACATGAGAATTAAGATTGCCAGATGCTCTCTGCTCAAATATTAAGGATGGCCTATTACTAAATGGATGTTTTGAAATACATTTACATTGGTCAAAAGAATAGAAAGAAAATGCATTTATTCTCTATATAAGTCCCAACATCTTGTTTTATTTCTTTTTTTAAGATTTTATTTATTTATTCATGAGGGACACACAGAGGCAGAGACGTAGGCAGAGGGAGAAGCAGCCTCCATGCAGAGAGCCCGATTCAGAACTCGATCCCAGGACCCTGGAACCATGCCCTGAGCCAAAGGAGATGCTCAACCACTGAGCCAGCCAAGTGCACTTTAATATCTTGTTTAGATGGAAAATGCATTTATTCTCTATGTAAGTCCTAACATCCTGTTTGCTTAGAAACAAAAGAGAGAAGTGTGTATTTTATAACTGTGTATACAATGAACAAAAACAAGTCTAGTTTTCCTTTCTTGGGTAGTCAGTGCAGTGTGCCTTACAAAATGGAGAGGGTTTGTTTGGTCAGATCGTAACAGCATGCAGAAAATAGTTGCTCCAGATCAGAATATGGAAAATGTATGGGTCTCTGGAGTATAGGCCTTTACAAAGAATACCCGGTCTTTCTTACTAATCTATGTATCTGGTTTAACAGACCCCTTGCTCCACCTTTTTGACATTTTCTAGTCAAGACAAATGACAATAATTCACCATGTTCATTATTATTTTCTCCTCGAATATTATCATCAAAATTTCACTCCTGTGATATCCAAAGATTACATGTTATTTTAAGCATGGCCATCAGTTTAATTTAAATGACACTCACTTCTTAGTATTTTCTTTCATCAAATTATCATACTGCGTAAAATGCTGGAAGACATATACCGCTGTGGAGAGCAATGTGTGTAAGTTTTTCAGGGGTGCTTTGGAAGGAAACTCCTTGACTCTCTCTTGCAGTCTCGCCAGGACAGCTGTTGCCACTTTACAACAGGCCTCCACAAAGTTTGCTCTAATTTCCTGGAAAGAATCATCTCTGCATGCCAGAGCCAGTGGAAGCATTGTGTCAAGTTTTTCCATGATGTCAGAACAAAACTAGGGAGAAATAAATGTAGCACTGAGTTATTTGTACTCTGACAGCACCGTGTAATTTATGTACAGGGGAGCCAAATTCCTAAATAATGAATTTGGCATCAAACATAAATATAATGATACGACTTTATAATAATCAATTTCTATGTTATAGAAAGCTAAACGTTTTATGTCAAATGAGGAAATGCGAAAAGGATGCTTCTCTCTATATAAACCTTCAAACCTTATGTTTACCAGACAGACATTATGAAAAACTCATGAAATAGCTTTACATGACAGTACTTTATTTGTAGTTAATACAACTTGGAAAACGTGAGTATCCTTGATATTAATATGATTGCATTATTTTTTACTTATTCTAATATTTTTGCTGTATTTTCATAAAGTATCTTTTTGTTAATCACCACACATACATAAGGTATGTCGATTTAATTTAAATAATTTAGAAACATCAGAAACAGTATCACATGGCATCTTCTTATTGGTAAGGAGTCAGAATTTTCAGAAGTGATGTGCCTGGCTTTCTAGTAGTTATCATGAATCTACTCTTTCTTAATGGCAAAGGAAGTATGGTGGATGGGGAGGCAAAACTTGCCTGCATTCCCAATTTGCCAACAGTGTTCCCAGGGGAATGTTCTGGAACCTCAGGTGGCAGTAGCCAAATAAGGAGGCCATCTTGATGAATGCTCTTTTTAAAAAATTCTAATCACAGGTTACTGAACTCATTGTGGGCTTAACACTGAATAACTGTATTTATTTATTTGCATAATTACTTCCTATTTCCTCAATATGCTCTGTGACTCTCAAGGCACACATAAAGATGCAAGACGGATGCTAACGAAATGGAATGTGCGTTAGTGTGTAAACAAAGATTTAAAAGTTGCCTAGACACATAAAAGACAGTAACTCCTTCAAACTCCTACTAAATTTTTCCCAAAATCATTCAAAGGAACAGCCCAAATAAGCAGTTTCCTCAGCTCCCCATTAAGTCACAGAAGTTTCTGCATTAGGGGCCCCAAACTCATGGAGCAACAAGTTGGCAACAGGTTTCAGCCTTTTTTGTTGGCAGTGGCCCAGGGACACCAGAGAATAAACCTGGTATTCGGTTAAATACCAAGTATTTGCCAAGAGACTACCATTTTTCTATAGGTTACCTTTGCAATGTCTTATACTGATTTTTTAAAAAAGATTTATTTTATTTATTTGAGACAGAGAGAGAATGTGTGTGAATGCAAATGGGGGGCAGAGGGAGAGGGAGAGAATTTTCAAGCAGACTCCCTGCTAAGCACAGAGCCTGATGCAGCCGGAGTCAATCCCACCACCTGTGAGATCATGCCCTGAGCCCAAACCAAGGGTCAGATGCTCAACCAACTGAGCCACTCAGGTGCCCCACAATGTTTTATACTGAAAAAAAAAAAAAATAACTCATTATGCCAGTCTGCAGTTTGAAAGGATTTCATTCGATACTTGCCTTTGCAATTTTCTTTGGTTGATCCTCCTCAGGAACATGACTGTCTTGCCAAACTTGCTGGACATTCACAAGGTTCATAGCATAGGTTACAGCCAAAGACCTTTCATTCTGTTCCTGTTGGAGAATTTTTGTGGAAAAATCTTCAATTGCTGTTGTTATACAATGTGCCATGGGAAGAGACACTTCTTTAAATACACTTCGCCAAGCAAAATCTAGTAAAGTTGCCTGAAATATAAATTTATATGAAGTTATATTAATTTTAACCCAGCAACAAGTATTCCTATTGTTATAGATATAAAATTATTACTTTCTTTCAGCATCTGAATATAGGTATTCTTTGATAAATGGCAAAAGCCATTCTTACAACCTGAAAAATATTACCCAGTGAATAAAGCAATATACAAAAACATGTGTATTCTTTACACAGAGTAATATACTGGCATTTCATTTTAATTCATCAGTGGATTTAATCAAAAAACTTTTTTCAAAAATTTAATCTCTTAAATATAGTTCAATAAAACTATCTTTATGAGAGTTAAAAGTTACAGTTACTATTTATCACATAAAGCAACCTTTAAATTCAATATATTTAATAAAGCCTAAATTAGATTTTTATAGTCTTTCTTATAGTTTATTGTTAATAAGTATTGCAACGCAAGACAGAGTTTAATATTCAACCTTTTATTTCTTTTTCACTCTTAGAAATACAGACAAGCCAAAAAATAGCAACAAGAAATTTCTCAGGGAAATTATATCACAGTACCTTTCTAGAATTTTACTTCTTTAGAATTTTATTCAGTTTCTTCACCCATAAAGTGGTAAGCAACACAACTCTCATTCCAAAAAAGGAATTTAAATTATCTGCATTGCTCTGTGTTGGGGGAATGGGAGAGGTTGCAGTGAATGGAGGCTGGTGGTGTTTTTTGTCTTTTTTCTTGGGGTCTGGGCTCAATATAATTATGAATGTATACTATCCCTAAGTCTTCTAATGTTCTCTTAAGTACTAAAAAATTGCAGGCAATAGGTGGACCCAAGCTTAGCATTAAATTTTCCCTGCTTCAATGTAATCTTATTTACTGTAATAATTCACCTATTCCAGCTTCAGAAGACTCTAGGCTCAATATGCCTGGCTGAATTATGTATTTTTCTGGATCCCAGTTTTTTGGTTAGAAAAATAAAAGAGCTGATTTGGATTATTTATATGATTTCCTTGGTCTAAAATTACTGATATTATGACCATTAGCTTAATTTTCTTACTTATTCATCCCATTCAGCATTTATTTAGTGCTTTCTGTATATACTATACAAAGTAATAAAGATGATACATCTTCCAGGGCTAAAATTCTACATGATTCCACAACGATAATCAATAATCAAAGCAGCTGCCATTGCCCAGGTCATGATCCCAGGGTCCTGGGATCAAGCCCCACATCGGGCTCCTTGCTGGATGGTCAGCCTGCTTCTCCCTCTCCAATGCTTGTGCTCTCTTGCTCTCTCCCTCTCTCAAATAAATAAATAGAAATCTTTAAAAAAAATACAAAAAACACAGCACATTAGCAGTTTCTCTTAAAAAACAAAACAAAACTGAAAACTACTACTCAAATCAACTCCTAGAAGTTAACAGTTAACTCCTAGAAGTAAACAGCTAGATGGCTGTTTTCATGCAATACTATTTGCTTACTTCTATTTTCCCCATCTGATGTTTGGCTTCACACATATTCTGGTTAGAATAGAGAACACTTACTAGTTGATTGAAGAAGAAAGAGGAAATAGTGCGGCTTTCTGTTCTGTGAATACCTGTTGATTACCCTTCTCCCATTACCGAAAGCTAATTTCTTAATACCTACTTTGATTTTCAGTTAAAGCATAATATATAACTTTCCACTTTCCTTATAATTTCCCCTCCTTTCTAAATTGAAGCTCTGGGATTTTTCCCCCCCTTTTAAATATTTACCTGTTATATCAGTCAAGATCCATTCAGAAAACAGAAACCACACTAGGCATTTCAAAAAGAGGAATTTTAATGTAGGGTGTTTGTTACTAAAGTGATGGAGTTTTGAGGAGCCAAATGTGAGATACAAGCAAGACAGGTATTAACACAGCAGGGAGCTACTTCTAAGGGCTGGAGGAACAAAGAAAAGGGACTGTATATGGGATTGTAGTTCCTGGGGCCATCAGTCTAAGTTAAAGGGAAGGCAGACCCAACAGGTGAAACTGGAACCAGGAAAGGAAGGGACCATGTGCTGAGAGCAAGGTCTGTACAGTAGATGAAAGAGTCACAGCAACTACTAGAGATGGTTCCTAAAGAGAGAGGGGAAGAAATACTCTTTCTCTCTATCTACCCTCCTGTTCTCCATTAATACCTTCTACTGGCCAAACCTTGCCAGAATCCAGAAAACAAGGAAGCCTGGAAGGCGTAGTTCTCTAGAATACAAAACAGAGCAAGGGAGGAGTAGCAATGGATCTAGAACAAACAGGCCCAGACTGGGCACACTAAAGTGAGACCAGTTCAAACTATTCTTTCCTCTTTCCTTTCTAATTTCCAGCTTCTCACTTTCGACAGTTTTCATAGCCCAAATTCTCAAAGTGTAGACCATGAACTGGGATAAGATGAAGGTTTCTTCACTTCCAGCTCCCTACTTCTTCCATGGAACAGACAGTGCTAGAGAACAACTAACTTCAATTTTCGTCAAGACTTATAAGCTAATTCTCAATCAGGATTTTTTTTTTTTTTTTTTTTTTTTAGTGGCAAAGGACAAACCCCAAGACATTTTGACTCATAATGGATTCATTCACAGACGTATGATGCTATTATATACGAGTTAAAAAAAAAAAACACTCTTTTTTTTCTTCTTCATTCACCTCTTTTACTGGTGGCAATTGCTCTGAAAGGACTCTGGTTACATTTGTTCTAGGTTTCTCTATAATAACTTCTTGATTGGATGGATCTGAAATTCCTAGGCAAGAGAATAGAAAACACATAAACATACATTAAGAAAAACAAATCATACCAAATGGAATTAACAGTCATGTTAAAATTATGAAGAAAAGCTCTATCCCTAGTATGTACACACACACACACACACACATATCAAGATGCAGAGAATATTGTCAACAAGATGTAGGATGATGTCACCATCACTATTACCATACCTACAGGATCAACCTATATAGAGCCCCCTTCCATACATACAACTAAATGAAATTTATAAACATATTTGATATACATGCATATACAATCTGTAAAATGTAGATCCCTCTGTCATTAATTCATTTTCATGTTGATAACATAGGGTAAAAGTACAAAGTAAATTAATTTCCTTGTTCATTTAAAAATTTAAATTCTGGGGCAGCCCGGGTGGCTCAGTGGTTTAGTGCTGCCTTCAGTCCAGGGCTTGACCCTGGAGACCCGGGATCAAGTCCCACGTCAGGCTCCCTGCATGGAGTAGGCTTCTCCCTCTGCCTGTGTCTCTACCTCTCTCTCTCTGTGTCTCTCATGAATAAATAAAACCTTTAAAAAAATTTAAATTCTGAATTTAAGGATGGTTCATTTAAGAAATGGTGGTATTCATTAACACATAAATATTTCTTTTCTTAAAATGAAGAACAAAATTACATGGGTAAATATCAGCACATCAGGAAAAATTACACTATTAATAAGTATATCAATAATCCATTGGCAAAACACAAACACTGGGATAAGAAATAATCTTTAGCTCTTAAAATGGAAATATTTTCTCACCTTTCATCTTTTAGAATTAAGGAAATCTTTTCCAGGGGGGAAAAAAAAACACAGCTACAAAAACCTAATAAAAATATGCCAAAAAGAAGTCTTTCCAGGGACGCCTGGGTGGCTCAGCCGATGAGCGTCTGCCTTCAGTTCAGGGTGTGATCCCAGGATCTGGGATCGAGTCCCACATCAGGCTCCTCTCGTGGAGCCTGCTTCTCCCTCTGCCTATGTCTCTGCCTCTCTCTCTGTGTCTCTCATGAATAAATAAATAAAATCTTATTTAAAAAAGAAGAGATCTTTCCACTTTTCCAGTAAGGTTCTATTAATTATAGTTTAATTTGAAATGAATAAGTTACCATTTCTTTTGTTTTTGCTTAGATTTGATATATGATGATGAATTATAAACTTTGATGCATTTTTAAATTTTTATTTATTTATTTTTAAAGATTTTATTTATTTATGCATGAGAAACAGAGAGAGAGAGGCAGAGACATAGGCAGAGGGAGAAGCAGGCTCCACACAGGGAGCCTGATGTGGGACTTGATCCTGGGACTCCGGGATCATGCCCTGAGCCAAAGACAGACATTTAACCGCTGAGCCACCCAGGTGTCCCTGATGCATTTTTAAAAATTTTAACGTCTTAAGAATCGGCTTCTGTTTGTGTCCTGAGCAAATAAATTTCAAAATATTACTAATTCTTATCAGTAGAACTTGTGACTGATATAATCATCTGGAAGATGTGTGGGTTTTTGTTTTTTGTTTTTTCTAAATATGGTTCTATGAGCATAATCATGAGTGATTCCTCAGTAGTACAATTTTAAAAATATTCTCTAGACAGGTAAGTACGGAAATTTTAGTAGAGTTTATATATTGTGAGGAAAAGTTTTTCTCAACTCCGGTGTTACATAATCATTTTGGATTTGTTAACACTCCTGAGAACTTGATTAAAGTGTTAGACTACTCCATCCCAAATGCACAAGATGATTGCATGATAGGTGTGCACACATACATACACCCTCACACGCTCCTGGGGATTCCTAGGCCTTCTTGTACCAAGCATTCGTGAGCCCCAAGGGCCTATGGACTGTAGTTTAGGGATCCTGCTTCATTTCTCAACATTCACCACAACATAGAGAGGGCTTTAGATCAATGTTATACCATTAACCTAAAATGGCTTCTCTATGGCTTGCACTTCACTATGTCTTTTTTAAAAAAATGATACTATAAATAATTAATTATTTTTTAAGATTTTATTTATTCATTCATGAGAGACAGAGAGAGAGAGAGAGAGAGAGAGAGAGAGGCAGAGACACAGGCAGAGGGAGAAGCAGCAGGCTCTATGCAGGGAGCCTGACATGGGACTCGATCCGGGAACTCCAGGATCACACCCTGGGCCAAAGACAGGCACCAAACTGCTGAGCCACCCAGGGATCCCTCTAAATAATTAATTCTAATACTGAAATAAAATCCAGATTAATGAAAGACTTTTAAATAGGGACACCTGGGTGGCTCAGCAGTTGAATGCCTTTGGCTCAGGGTGTGATCCTGAAGACCCGAAATCGAGTCCCACATTGGGGTTCCCTGCATGGAGCCTGCTTCTCCCTTTACCCATGTCTCTGCCTCTCTCTCTGTGTCTCATGAATAAATAAAATCTTTAAAAAAAGAAAGGTTTTTAAATAAAGAAAAATGAAACTATAAGGCTATGAAAAGAAAATATGGAATATTTTAAAAGATGTGTGTCGTGATTTTTCAGAAGGACATAAAATGCAGAAACTATAACATAATTTTGCATAAAATAAATTCTGCATAACAAAAATACCATTAATAGTCAAAATAGATGTGACAAACTGGCTTGGCATTCTTTTTCAAAATGTCCGTACTTTTTTTTTTTTCTAATTAGTAGACTTTAGTTTTTAGAGCAATCTTAGGCTTACAGAAAAAAAATTAGCAGAAAAGTATAGAGTTTCCATATACTCTGTCTCTCTCTGCTTAATCAGTTCCCCTATTGTTAACATCTTACATTGGTATGGGGTGTGCGTGTGTGTGTGTGTTTGTGTGTGTGTGTGTATTTAAAGTAGGTTCTATGTCCGGCATGAAGCCCACTGTGGGGCTTGAACTCACGACTCTGACTGAGATCAAGACTAAGCTGATATCAAGAGTCAGACACTTAACGACAGAGCCACCCAGGTGCCCTAGGGTGACATGTTTTTTACATATGAGAAACTAATATTGATTATATTTAACAAAAGCTCATAGTTTACATTAGGATTCATTCTTTTTTTTAATTAAGTTTCTATTTTAATTCCAGTATAGTTAATATACAGTGTTATATTAGTTTCAGGTGTATAATATAGCAACCCAACAATTCTATACATCATTCAGCACTCATCAGAACAAATGCCCTCCTTTTTTTTTTTTAAGATTTTATTTATGTATTCATTAAGACACACACACACACAGAGACACACAGACACAGGCAGAGGAAGAAGCAGGGCCCATGAAGGGAACCTGATGTGGGATTCGATCCTGAGTCTCCAGGATCACACCCTGGGCTGAAGGAGGTGCTAAACCGCTGAGCCACCCAGGCTGCCCCAAATGCCCTCCTTGATCCCCACCACCTCTTTCACCCATTCTCCCTTGCCCACCTCCCCCTGGTAACCATCAATTTGTTCTCTTATAGTTAAGAGTCTGTTTCTTGGTTTGTCTCTTTCTTTTTCTTTTGCTTGTTTAAATTCCACATCAATAAAATCATATGGTATTTGTCTTTCTCTTACTGACTTACTTCAGTTGGCCTTATACTCTAGCTCCAACCATGTCATTGCAAGTGGAAAGACTTCATTCTTTTTTATGGCTGAATAATATTCCATCATATATCTCACACCTTCATTATCCATTCATTAATCAGTGGACACGTGGGCCATTTCCATAATTTGGCTATTAGATAAGGCTGCTATAAACATAGGGCTGCATATATCCCTTTGAATTAATGGGTTGTTTTTTGTTTTTGTTTTTGTTTTTGTTTTGTATTTTTTGGGTAAATCCTCAATAGTGTGATTACTGGATTATATGTTAATTCTATTTTTAACTTTTTGAGAAACCTCCATACTATTTTCCACAGTGGCTGCACCAGTTTTCATTCCCAACAATGGTGCATGAGGCTTCCTTTTTCTCCACATCCTCACCAATGCTTGCTGTTTCTTGTGTTGTTGATTTTAGCTGTTCTGACAGGTGTGAGATGATATCTCATTACAGTTTTGATTTGCATTTCTCTGATGATGAGTGATGTTGAGCATCTTTCCATGTGTTTGTTGGCCATCTGGATGTCTTCTGTGGAGAAATGTCTGTTAATGTCTTCTGTCCATTTTTTAATTGGATTATTTGGTTTGGGGGTGTTGAGTTTGAGAAGTTCTTTATATTTTGGATACTAACTCTTTATTTGATATGCCATTTACAAATATCTTCTCCTATTCTTTAGGTTGCCTTTTAGTTTTGTTGATTGTTTCCTTCACTGTGCAGAAGTTTTAATTTTGATGTAGTCCCAATAGTTTATTTTTGCTTTTATTTCCCTTGCCTCAGGAAGACAGATCTAGAAAGATATTGCTAGAGCTGACATCAGAAAAATTATTGCCTATCCTCTCTTCTAGAATTTTTATGGTTTCAGGTCTCACATTTAGGTCTTTAATTCATTTTGAAATTAAGGATTCATTCTTTGTGTTATTCATTCTATGGGTTTCACCTAGTGCATAATGCCATGTATCTACCATTACTGTAACATATGGAATGATTTCACTGCTCTAGAAATCTCCTATGCTCCATCTATTCACCTCTTTCCCCCTTTTCTCTTCCCTTGGCAACTATTGGTTTTATTGTCTCTATACTTTTGCTTTTTCCAGAATGTCATTTAATTGGAATTATACAATATAGATAGTCTTTTTAGATTGGCCTCTTTCATCTAGCAGTGTGAATGTAATATTCCTCCATGTATTTTTGTGGCTTGATACCTGATTTATTTTTATCATTGAATAATATTTCATTGTCTGGATGCACCATAATTCAACTGTTCACCGCTGAGGGACATCTTGGTTGCTTCCAAGTTTTTTCAGCAATTATGAATAAAGCTCCTATAAACATTAATGTGTTGGTTTTTATATGAACATAAGTTTTCAACTCATTTGTGTAAATATCTGGGAGTGTGATTACTAGATCATATACGACAATGTTTAGCTT